GTCCCAGTCCTCTTGACGAATGCTGTACGGTTCGACCTCAGCCTCCATCACCTCTCTAGCACCGCAAAGATATACGGGCCCTTGAGGGTCTGACTTGGAGAACTGAAGGGCGCGATTGACCATCTGCTTGACATTGGTTGCTGTCTTGAGCTCGCCAGAGTACCGGCAGTATTGCGAAACGATTTGCTTTTGATCAGGGACATCCTGAATCCAGTGGATGTACTCTGTTCTGCTGCCTCTCATCTCGCCTTCGATAGTGAAGGGAGACAGACCGGCAAACACCAAAACGGGCGCGCGGCCGCATGACGAGTTGTGAACAGCAGCGCCGAGACCTTGCGTGCCTACGTCGACGTGGACAATAACACATTGCGGCTTTCCAGTCAGGCGAGCGTAGCCGTCGGCCATGGACATGGCGACCATCTAGATACCTCATTAGCACATGCCCAAGTGGACGCACGCGGAAGAGACGGAGTTTCATTACTTCATTGGGACATGTGATGATTCTGGGGAAGTTCCCCTTTCGCTCCCTCTGACCCTTGACCATGGCTTCGATAATACTGGGGTGGTCAGAACCCAGGTTCACGAAGCAGTGGGTGACGCCGGCATCCCATAGCGCCTCGAAGAAGGCGAAAGACGCGGTATACATCTCGGTTGATTTCGAAGAAAGGTTCCTGGCCTGTTGGATGGTGGTCTTGAACTCATCCTCGACGAGAGGCCGAGAGCTGGTAGGCTTTATACCAGCACCCGCATGGGAGGATGATGGTGATGTTGATCCCCCACTTCGATGCAGTGGGGCAGCGGATGAGAAACCGGCAAGTTGACGAGCAGGGCCGCCGACAACGGCTATGCTGGGCGCCAATGTCTGGTTGAAGCGGACTAATTTCCCTGGACGCCCACCTGCAGGGCCGAAGCTGCGCAAGCAACGTGCCATTGGCACCGGCAATTGTCTGAAAGGCATGGTGAAGAACGGCAATAACGGGCCAACTAGCCAGCCAGCAGTGTGTATTAGAGGGGGGCGGGGTAGGTATCAACAAGTGAGGTGGATGTGTGTGTGTGTGTGTGTGTGTGTGTGATTGACTACTTCACAGTGTTATCAAACAACTCTGAGGGAGGGGAAGAGTCTCGCTTGGCAACTGCGTCAGTACTGAACAGTCTAGTACCTGGGAGTCGTCGAGCTTGTGTGGCACACTTCAAGCAAGCTGGGGATGAACGACTCGACCGATCACCGGTGTATGGGATACGGGGTTTGACCGATGACGCGCCGCGGCGGAGAAGTTGCACAATTCTGGAGACTTGGTATAGGCTTCGTCCTCTGAGGTGAAGCCTGATGGGGGTAGTTTGACTGAAGTCAGTCGGGACAGGGCCTCCCGTGACGGGCGACAAAGACGAGTTTATACGCCAGGAACTGGGATCGTTCCACAGACCGACCGCCGGCCCAAGCTTGTTCCCCAGAAAAGGGAGCATCACGCCCTTGCGGCCCCCTTGGGCTAACCCCGCAATCGGCCCAGGGCCCGGTTTCATAGGGCGCTTGTTGTCGGCTCACTGCAGGGTAGGCGACACAGCTCCATAGCCGCTCACCCTCATCGTGTTTAGTCCCGAGAGAAGGGAGCACAAGGCGCCGTAGAGGGACATGTACAAGGGTTGAGGAGGAGGAGCGAGAGGTTGATAAGAGGAGACAGCCGTTGAGATGACATGGCAGCATGCAAGCTTCATCCCTGAGTGAAGCCGTTCGTGAGGTGAGCTGAATGATACGGCATGTACATAGGCACATCTCTTATCAAGATGGGATCTCAAAGCCAAATGTCCCAACTTCCCTACTTGGGGACTTATGTGTCAAACACCGCTCTGGGCCGAGGATTACCGCGACCCAGCCCCAAACAAGACGTTTTGAGGTAAACCATGGGCTAAGAATCCCGATTCTCAAGTCCCCGTCTCATAGCACAGGAGTTCCCCGCAGCAGAGCGCGCGTCCGGGCGTTCCCTGCAGCACCCAGCTGATGCATCGAGCTTGTGCGGGGTGCAGGCGGTGTTATCTGGTGGCTTTTACTATTAGCTAAGAGGATCCGCTCGGCCTTTGAGCTTCGATGCAGAGAAGCCCGAATCTAAAGCAATCGAAAGGCGGGTACGAGGCATAGCTCAATTGATGTTGTAGCTAAATCATCTTGTAGCTGGCAGTACTATTTAGTGTTATTTTCATCTTCAAGTGTCATCCCATGACTAAGTCACGTTGCTCTGCACGTCCCATGTACAACCACATTCATCCATCTTGCCTCAATGCATCCGGCCAGATCCATCCAAGCACGGAACCAACGCCAAAAGCAACAAGGCACGTCAAGATCATCGTCGCCATGAGGCCCGCATAGCTCGTCTTCTTCGGCACTGCCACCGGCGGTTTCGCCGTCCTCCTCCCCGCCGAAGCCTGTCTCGTCGCAGTCGGCCTCGCCGTCAAGAGACTCTCCCACGAATACACCGTCGGCGCCGTCGGCGTGCCGTACAACGTCGTCTCCTGCTTATCCATCGTCTGATACCCGTACCCCGTAGTACTAGGCACCGCGCTCGGCGTGCTCGTCGTCACGGCCGTCGATTCGCCCGACCAATCGTGCCCGTCGAACGCTTTATACCACGACCACTGCGAGTCGGGGTCGTTCCAGTCCGCGAGGATACCGGGGCACTCGTTCAGGCAGTTGAAGAGTCCCGCGCCCGTGCCTTGCTTCTTGTTGCCGTGCTCGTCTGCGAATTTGAGGCCGCAGGTGCGGAAGCAGCCGTACGAGGAGCAGGGGAGGGAGTACCACGGTTTCAGCCAGCCGCCGTAGGATTCCCATGCCGTCCAGTCTTTGATGTCTGTGTTTGTGAGGGTGAAGTCTGGGGAGGATTCGACGCCGTAGTAGTTTGTTTGGATTTTGGAGCCGTTGAAGGCCATGGCTGTTATTTTGTAGGACTCGGAGGGGCCGAGGTCTTTGGGGATTGTGATTTTGGGTCTGGTCGTGCCCATTGGGATGAAGTCGCTTAGGTAGCCTGCCAGTCGACCCCTTGTCAGTGATGCACTTTATCGGTACTGCGCAAGGCGCAAGGATACTGAGGTAGGAAGAAAGGCCCTCTTACAGGTGTACATCCATTCCTCGGTGTACAGGAATAGCTGATAGTGCTCGTACAGCATGTCATGGCCGCAGCCGACGTCCTCGTCTATTGGATTGCGGCATACCGCCACGATCTCGTCAAAGACTGGCCCGGGGAGGGTCTCGTAGACGAACGGCTGTTTCCAGTAGTCGAAACCGATTTCGATTTCCGTCTCGACGCCAGCTTTGATCTCGGAGGGAACGGTGACGTTCAAGGCGTGCGCTGTTGAGAGGAGCGTCATGAGGAACGCGAGGAGGGTGTCGGGAAGGGCCATGGCTGCGGTGGTGGCGATCAGTTATCGTGATCGCGATCGTGGAGGTCGAGTGTGGAAGCCGGTAGTCACTCACGTGTACCAGGCGTTGAGCGAGTGGACGAGAGGCGAGCGCTCCCTTGGTGGTGGCGAAGACAGCGAGTGCAAGTGTGGATGATGGAGGAAAGAGGCCATCGCGAAGAAAACTTGTGTGACGGCTGATCGTGTTGATGCGAAGGATCGGGATGCTAGACAGGGGCCGATGGGATTTCCTTAGCTCCTTCCTGCTTGGTCTGCGCTAAAAAATAAGCCTAAGTACTTTGGTCCCTCCCTGGTGGGGTCCCCGGAGTCGCCCGGGATCGGGCCCGGAAGTGGGTCTGTTTTCGGTGCATGGTCTGGGGGAGGTCGGGGCGAATTGCGGTGATGCGTCCTGGCAGCTTTCGTACACTGGTCGCTGACCATCGACGAACTTTTGATTGGGTTCGTCATTTGTTTCACAGCTTCGTGGTATGCGATGAGAAGGTAAAACCATCGGACGACAGCAATCAGTCAAGGGTTACACTAACTTCGATGTAGCACTCTTGGGATTCTTAATGCGGTCGTTCCTGAGCATTGAAACCCTGAGGATATAGTACGCTACAAGTAAGTCAGTCTATAAAGAATGTTCTGTCGCATTATGGCCATAACAGCCGGGAAAGACTGGCCTCGAGTGTTCGGGGGTCTGCTTCAATACCACCCCGCTCGCATCGGACTGCCGCATGATGCTTGGAGCTCGAGTCCTTCACACTGAGCTCCAACCTGGAGCTCCGCACGACCCGGTTTGCATGTTCAGATGAACGCTGTTTGAGATACTTAAGCTGCCCCTCCCTCTGAGATCGCAGTCGGGGAGGAAGCTCCCCATTCATGATTAATACCCTTTTCTGCATGCTAAAGGTCAACTGTAATTAAAAACGAATTACTAAAATTGGGCACCAGCGACCTTGATAAAAGACACGCAAAACCGACTCTGAGCAGAATGTCTATGAACATAACCTCCCCCTTCTCTCCTTACCCGAGCTACGTACTCGGCACAGGCCTCACTTTCATAGGCTTTCTAGGCTTCGTCCGGCCCCTGGCAATCTACGACGCCTTCGGCATCGCCAGACCCCTCTCCGCAGAAGCCGAGGCTTTTAGCTATGCCAAATCAGCGCGCGATCTAGCTACAGGGTTGCTGTTTGTCGGGCTCGAGACGTATCAGGAGGGAAGCGGCAATGAAGACGCGGTGACTGCGTTATTGGCCGTTACTTCGCTTGTTGGAATCATGGATTGGTGGATTATTAGGACGATGGGTGGAAAGGGAGGACGAGGAGATGGGGGGAAAGCGTTGACGCATTTGGGGAGTGGGGTTGTGCTTGGGAGTTTCGCCATTTGGAGGTGGATGTATTAGTCTTGGATGAGTCCTTCCCATGACGGAGGTTGGTGTCGAATGTAACGCAGATCCCAAGCAACTTGATGACCAGTAGTGTAACTTAGGCCAAACCGAGTCATCTTTGATGGCTTGTACTTGACTCCGACTTGACTCGGTCTTCATATTCTGCTTTAATTACAGACTTATTTACCCTTTGATTCATCTGACGCGCTAATATGTGCGAGCCTCAAGCCTTATCCTTGTCGACGATGATCTTGGGCGAGACCCTGATCTGCCAGTCGCTAATGTTGTGGTCATCACCATACGTCCGGAGCGCCCTCGACAGGATCTTGTACTTGCCGCTCTCGATCGCACTGCCGTGCGAGAAGTTGCCGCTCGGCCACCAGGTGCTCGAGGGCAGGCGCGGGTACTGTTGAACGGGGGCATCAAAGTAGGCGTCTGAGATGAGGTTGTGATGCTGAAGGGAGCCAAAGTATTTGTTCTAGCCCGGAACAAAGGGGTGTGACCAGTCTATGGGCTCCCAAGAGGGTTCGACGAGCTTGAAAGGGTTAGCTATTTCCAGATGAAGTACTTGGTCTTGATTCGGGAAACGAGGAGTACATACATCGAAGCTGAACTCACGACTAGGCCAGATAATATCAAAGTCAATGGTAAAGGTGTCTTCGATAGTCATCTTGAAGGTATCATTCTCTTGGATTAGCACAAAGTCGGGGGTTTGAATGACGGGGTCAATCCATTTGCCGGCCCAAATTTTGCTATCTTAGACGCTGCCTTTAATACCTGTGGAGAGTCAGTTACCTCTGGAGCTGTTATTGAACTGGCATCATCTACAGACCAGCGTATGTCACCCGCGGAGACTCGTCGTTAGAGCCGATAATATTGATGTATCCGCCATAGATCGGGAAAAGCGTCGCATCAATACCGGCAGGTTAGATGAAAGTCACCGTCAGAACTCCAGTCGTACCAGGAGCTACATCAAGTGCAGTCGCCGAGAACTTGACCGTGGCCACCTCGCCCTCGTTCGAGGAGTACGGGATCGGAAGCGGGCTCAGTGGAGATGGTGGAGTGGTCTGTGTCGTTCAAATTGATGACGGGGGGAGTGATCGATGTCTTGTAGGTTATGACCTTAAAGGCGTCGACTATACCGGCACCTGGCATTGGAATAGGGGTAATAACCCGTCAGCTTCGGTGAATCTAAAAACGCCAAGATAGAGAGACTTACGCTAGAGAGCCGCTTCCATCATGATGAGCGACGGGCTTGCCGCTGGAGGCGATGAGGTGGTGGGCCGAGTCGCCGGCGTTGCTGGAAATTTTGGAGCGGCCTCCGTTCGCTGAGAAGTAGAGAGCGGCGACACCGGCAATGTTGAAGTTCTGTTAGAACGAGTTGAGCTAGTCTCTAATCAGCAACTAAGGTATATATGGAGTGGCCATGCTGGTTCTATAGAGAACAGCCTACCCACCCTCGGATGTCGGATACGTGGGAAGAAAGGGACTACCTGATATGGGGATTAGGTAAAATACGAAATGTTTGAACAGCTAGATGTCGGGACGACGATAGCTTACCAGGAGCTGAGATCTCGGGCTTAAGACGGCTGTCAACTGTCAAGCCCTGGGACGAGAAGTAGTCAATGGCACCTGCAACGGACCCAGAGTTGGCGCTGGGAATGCCGACTGCCTTGCTACCGTTGGCTACAAACTCAAAGCTTACCTTGTGGCCCCGTTCATTTTGCTGAACGAGCCACTTGCCATCCTCTAGACTGGTGAGTCCAACTGATTCGCAATTTTAGTATGTCATGATCGTGTTGCAGGACAGGGGGACGCCAAGTTATGGAAATGACTTACATCCAAGGGGCTGCTCCTTGGGGTTGTAGACGTTTCGGTTGGGAATCTCCCAGGCAGCATCCTGGACGTTGCAGTAGAATGCCAACTTGACACTCGTTCCGAAGAGGTTGGTGTCGAGGACTTGCCAGCACTGACCATTCTGTAGCACATGTGTTGGTGAGGCTTAGGTCGAATCATAGAGTAGACAGGCACAACAACAATGAGATATTCGCCAGTTGATAGCAATTGTTAGAGGTGAGCTGAGAAAGTTGCAAAGTTATCTTCAGCGATGTAATGCTCAATTTTGGTTGACTTGTTTCCAGCGCTCTGCGATTGTGATCTCCAGTCTTTCGAACTTCTTTGTTCCCCATTGATTTGACACACTGCTGCGGCCACGTTCAGGCACATAACATTGTGTTACTTGTTTCCGTAACTCTTAAGAATCAAGGCTTTGTTACACTCCATTCGACTTCCAAGTTCATTGACAAACGGTGCTTTCATCAGCTATTTTGGTAATACTCAAGCCATTGGTATCATTGATAGACTACAACATGATTGTTCAGGGGCTTTCGCTGTGAACGACATTAGAACCATTGTGTCGATGACTCTCTGGCTTCAGACATATTATTTAACAATCCGTTGCAACCGAGTGTCTGCATCGCCTACAGTCATCAACAGCCTGACCATCGACGACATCACCAATACTTTTTCAGCCCCTGACATACAACTCTAGCGCGTATCTTCCTTACAAGAATACATTTTTGACTACTACGACTTTTGAACATCTCTACTCTGCGAGATCGGATCTCTTCTTCAGCATCTCATTTATATAGCTCACGTGCCTTACTTATCACATTACTTGTCGACAATGGCCTCGCCTACTCACGACCCGGCTGACATTCTTTGCTGGATGAGGGATGTGTCCGGAAATTTGGAGGACACAAGCTCACTCGAAGAAGAGGTCCCCAATCCCCCTGAGATTAAGCAAATCCAAGAGACTAGTTCTGGTACCGCTTACATTGCTGACCGGTCTTCTTCTGGAAGTGGATCACGGGCAAGCGAATCTGGAGAGACGCCAGCTCTGACGACAAACTCAACATGTACCAAACGCTCCTCACGATCTGAAGATGGAACTGACGATGAAAGTGTTAAGAAACGTAGGTGCAGCTACGTTCAGTCGCCAACGTTTATCCAAAGCCCATGGGAATCTGCGACCGGTTGCCATATGTACTACCGAAACAGCTGTCGCCCAAGAAAGCTGGAAACTGTCACATCGTCTTACTGGCCAGATATTCGCGACGTCTATGCCAGATCACTTCATGACCCGAGCATCGAATGTTGCGTTCCCTGTTCCATCTGTCATGAGGATTGCGCAGACGAAAGTACGTCCTGGAAAGTCGGATGGGAACTGCCCGTCATCCTTGCGTGTGGCCATATGATTGGGGAAGAATGCCTCAAATCGTGGTTCAGATCGCGGGCAAAAAGCGATCAGCCAAAGGACTGCCCAGTGTGCAGAAGGTTGCTCCAATGCTCCGAATGCAAGGAAGCCTTCATGTTTTCGATCCTTTGTCGCGATTCTTACGTCCCGAATCTGAAGACCAAAACCTACAGCGAGCAGCCAATGGAGCAGACCATTTGCAACGATTGTCAGGCCGAGACTGATTTCGGAAGTCGAATCCTCCAAGGTGAGCATATTGCCGAGCCATTTCCCCGCGGCGGCGCTCCCCGACGTATGATAGATTGGTACCGTCAAGTAAGGGATGAGTTTGAAACCAAAGCAAAGTTGAGCTTGGGTGACGGAATGAGACCGATCGACGTCTCTGGCATGATTCACAAAGAGATTTTCGCCGAGATGGAATCATGGCTGTATTTTCTAAAGGAGGATGTGGCTCACAGAGTACAGGCAAGTATCGCTCAGATTGAGACAGAGCTGGATGAAACTCACTGGTGGAATCGCGCTGGAGTGGAAGCGGAAGAAGACTTCGACATCAACCCAGGCTATGGAAATCGCTCAGATGGTGGCGAGGACCGCGGCGAGGACGGCATGAGTTACGAGGGCTTTGATGGCCGCTGGCATGGCGATGAGACTCAGGCTGGGGACAGAGATTACGATGCCGCTAACTATACTTGGTGAGATTTGCTGACATCAACTTGGTGTCACACCATACTTTCCAGAAGATAGAGCGTTGTTGATTTTGAATGATCTGATCGATGAAATACGACTTGGACAAGTTGTGGTCAAGAATGTGAGGGGTTGTTACAAGCTCAACCCGCAGCTGTAGTAATTCTGAATAGAGTCTACTTCATCTATCCATTGGTGATATCACGATCTCCATCTGTTCCGGACGTGCAGTTGATCTGGAGCAAGTTCTTGTCCAGGTTTTTGCATTCGTACACAGGTGGCTTCCCGCTTGGCACCGTGACTGTGACGTTCTCGGCGCGGATGTTGCTGCAACGCTATATCGTAAAACTAATGTCAGTGATGTGTCCGGAGAATCAATGCTCTTTCATAGCGATGGATGGAAAGCTTACGTCTGCGGCACTACAAACGAGGCTTCCGGCTTGCGGGTCTAGCTTGGTTGAAACCGTGCCGTAGATGTTCTTCAGAGTGATGTCAGAAATTGTAAGGTTGGCCTAGAATCACCATTATCAGCACTCAATTGTACAAAGAGCTCAGAGAGAACGAAGGGACCTACCGGGAACTCTTCGCAGAGTGTTTGGTTCTTTTGGCCGTAACATTGCGTGATCGTAATAGCCCGATCATTGTTGGTATTCTTGAAGAGGTCATACGTGACGTTTCTGACACGCCCGAGACCACCGCCACCGTTCAGAAGTGTCTGGAAAGCAGTCTCAATACCTGGCCAGACCTTGATCCGAGCGGCATCGCTGGCGTTGGCCATGGTTGTGTTGTAGATGTAGAGGTTCTCGACGATGTCGGTCTCGCCCTTGTACTGGCCCAGGGAGCCAACGCTCATGCCGTGTGAGCCAGTGCAATCCAGGTTCTGGACGACAACATTGGTGCTGTTTGGTTTGAATGACACACAGTCTGCATAAGCCATCGAGATTAGTTCACGAAACCTTGACGAGAGTTTCGATAATTAGGCTGCAAGCAACCAGATCATCCGTGACCAAACTCACCGTCTGTGTTGATAATCACTGAGTTCTGAATCACAATGCGATCGGACCGATAAGTATCCCAACCATCCGAGTTGGCGATCTTGACACCATTTTGACTCTGTCCCAATTATTGTGTCAGCTTTTGCGCCGCCCTGAGATGGGGGTAAATCAGTGGAGCGACCTACCTGGGCTTTAAGATCCATATCACTGATAATGACATCGGTGCTGTTCGCAATCAGGTTGAACCACTGGTCTCGTTAGCCTGTAACAATCTAGATGTGGTGGTCACAACTCACGTTGGGAGGGTTGCGCATCCGAAGGTGTGACATTGTCGCCCCCTTCGCTCCGTCGAAAGAGAACAACATGGGCCTCAAGAGCTATTATGTCCTGTTTAGCACACTCGAAAAGTAGCATGACCTGGCGTTCTTACACTACTGTTGGTCTGAATGGCCTCCCAGTATGCCTGACCGCGACCATCAATGACAGACTTATCGTTCCCAAGATCACCATAGATGTTGATATCCTCGCCGCCAAACTTCCAAAAGACTGACTGGTTCTGGAAAGCGAACTTGAAACTGTTGTCGGCCCAGTAGAGGGGGTCATCATTGAACTGGATGTCGCCGGTAATTACTACGTCAATGTGCTTCAAGAAGGTGAGATCCAACGGCGAGCTAATGAGGTAGGTCTTGTCGAACACCACCGTGCCGCCGTCGTTGCATTCCTTGAAGGCTTTGAGGATCTTCGGCGCGTCGTCCTTGCCCTCGGTGCAGCTCGGCTTAACGTAGCAATAGCGGTCTTTGTCTCTGGGAGGCGAAAATGGCATGGCCCTTCCGGTGTTGAACGGAGCGGGCTCAACCTTAGGGCGCTTGGGAAGCTCATCCTGGGCGGAAACAATCGACATCAGGCCAAGGGCGGCGGCCCATAGAGCCAAAGAGGTGGTCCGCATCTTGACAAACTTGCACGCACACGGGAATGACAGAGTGGTGTTAGGGATGTGAAAGCGTCACTCCTTGAGTCCTAGTCCCTGAGCCATCCGTACTCAAATACCCAAAATCCTAAGAGCTTAAGTTTAATGAAATGTCACCGGCGGCGGATCATATCATCATGATCCCCAGATTGAATGCAACAATACGTGGAAGATTTGTGGGGTTCATGTAAGGTCCCTCGGCCGGTCGGTGGAAGATTTCGCGGACTGGGGTGCGAGCAAACACGTTGATTCTTCCCAAAAGAGCGTTCCCTTCAACCTGACGAACCCCTTGCGGCTGAATCCTTCTTGCGCTTCTCCGCATACTGTACCCAGTTGTGAGCGCGGGGTAAAGAGGGATGCGGAGAAATTATCAGAGACAACTTGGCGAGGCAATTAGCGAGCCGGTGGGTGCAATTTGCTTCGCATTTCCGGTCTTGGCGTTGACATAATATGAGATCACACAGGTAGCAGATATTTGCTGGAGCACTGGGCTCTCGAGACCCTCATCTTCAAGAAAACTGGGAACGGGAGCTTGGTCTCAAGGCATCTGCCCGCAGATTAGGCAATGGAGTCCAGAGGCCCTCGCAGAAGAATGGAGCCATTCAGGCTGTTGGTGGAACATCGATGTAGGGCAGCGCGATTCGAGACCCCAAGCGACAGATCATAGTGATCATGGTGAATTTGACTCTCGTTGAAATCTTTGTCACTGGCTTCCGAGGCAAATCCAAACAATGATAACCTCGAGATTCTCACGATCAGGATCGTTGTGCTGCTTCATCGTCGAGAAGGTATAAGGGAATGCTCTTCAAACTGATCTCGACCATGGGAAGGTAGCCAAGCTTGACTTATTAAGGGGATTCGAAATCAAATGACCCATTAAAGAAGTCACAAAACCGTGATCAGCTGCTAGTAGGAGAGGGGGGGGGGAGGGTATCAAATGTTGCATGTATCAAAGCCAACCGGCCGTCCTTGATCATATCCCTGCTGTCCTGCTTTTGTCCTCAAGACCTGACTACATCATGTTGTCCTCGTGAATCACTTCCGCTCGCGCCATAGACGTCCAATAACCTCCTCCGTGGCTGTGTGTATATTGGAAGAACAAAGGGAATGTTTCAGAATCCGCAACATGGCGATATAGACGATAGGCCGCGTCCGAGACCAGACTTTTATCAGAGTTAACTTCTCAAAAAACCCGTGTCCGATAGCGCTGAGGCGGCGGGGGTTGCTGACGGCGAGCTGGTCCATTGGTCTTGACTTTCCATGCGTCGTAACGATTAATGTGGAAAG